TCAAACTCCAAGAGAGAGAGAGAGAGAGAGAGAGAGAGAGAGAGAGAGAGAGAGAGAGAGAGAGAGAGAGAGAGAGAGTCAATCAATCAATCAAACCAATCAAGATCCTATCGAATCTTGGTTGGTTTGGTTGATTGATTGATTGATTGATTTGATTGATTGATTGATTTGATTGATTGATTGATTGATTGATTGATTGTGTGTGTGTGCGTGTGTGCGTGCGCAGGTGTCTTTGTGTGTGTGTGTGTGTGTGTGTGTGTGTGTGTGTGTGTGTGTGTGTGCGGGGGGGAGGGGAGGTAGGACCCTTCCCCCACCAATCAATGAAGCAATCAATCAATCAAACAATCAATCAATCAATCAATAAAGGAAGGACACGTGTCTCTTCCCTCTATGTGAATGTACGGAACTTGTGTGCATGAGACCTGGTACGTGGGATGCATGAGACCAAGTACGAGGTGAGATTTATCCAAACAAGAGAGAGAGAGAGAGAGAGAGAGAGAGAGAGAGAGAGAGAGAGAGAGAGAGAGAGAGAGAGAGAGAGAGAGAGAGAGAGAGAGAGACTAAAAAGAGATCTAGTGTTACCGGCGAGTAGCGGCTGTTTTTTGTTCCCGTTCGCCATTTTGTGAGTCGACCCGCGATCTTGCACAGTTCGTGGGAACATTATTGTACGAATGTCATCATCAATGACTGGCGGACAAAGAAATGATTGCTATTCGTGTTTTTTATTTCGTTTTTTTTTTTTTTTTTTTTTTTTTTTCGTTGATGCATGTCCTTGCTGTTTTTCCGCATCAATGACACGTGGCGATCTGAACTGGAACCCACCTTCAGTGGATGTCACGAACAATGGCTTGGGGATGTCATTCTTACCCCGTCGACCAGCAATTTACCGTCTTCCCCCGAACGTAACGCACCCCAAAGATGAATGTATACAAGCTATGTTTCCGGCCAAATACAGCCAAAATGAGGGTGCATTGTGTTCGGGTGAAGACGGTAGTGGTATGTGTCCTTCTCAAAAAAATGATTGCTATTCGTGTTTTTTATATCTTTTTTTTTTTTTTTTTTTTTGTGTGTTGATGCATGCCGTCCTTGATGTTTTTCCGCATCAATGACACGTGGCGATCTGAACTGGAACCCACGTTCAGTGGATGTCATTCTCATCCCGTCGTCCCTCTTGTTTCCCACTTCCCCACGGTCCCCGTCTTCCTCCCTTACTTACCCCTTCTTCCCCCCTTTCTTACCCATTCTTTCCCTCTGCGTTGGAGATTGACTCGTCAAAACTGGTGAATCGCACGTGAAGTGGACATACAGCTTGAATGGAGATTGACTCGTCAAAACTGGTGAATCAGTTCTCACAGATTATACAAAAAAAGGGAAAACGGAGCAACGGAATTTAGATCGGCGAACGTTCGTAGAGGTTTCGCAGAGGTTGAATGTCATTCGGTCGCTTGTCACTATCATGTGCAGAACACTAACCCATGGCCGCATCACATACATCTGTGAACGTGGTAACTCTGGGAGAAAGTGAACACTACTGAGAGAGAGAGAGAGAGAGAGAGAGAGAGAGAGAGAGAGAGAGAGAGAGAGAGAGAGAGAGGCCCATCATTTGCAAAACGCATTCCTTCAACCGTGGGGAAAAAAAAAAAAAAAAAAAAAAAGGTGCTTTGAGGCTGCAAACAGCCGACCTACGACACCAAATCTCCACGAAACCACGCAGGTGGGATCTCCACGAAACGAACGCCGTAAACCATAAACTGCAATGTGCATGACCGCGTGCCAAATACCAAAAAAAAAAAAAACAAAAAAAAAACAACATTTTGCACACCGCCATCAACGACCATAACCAAAGGCACCTCAGCGACATATCACATTTCCCACAGCGTGCAACACAACCAACAGCACGGTGAAAACAAAGAATGAAAAAAATTGCCGTTTCAAAGTGCGACATTGACTGCAAACAGCCAACCTGTGACACCAAATTCCATGAAGTCATGCCCACGGAATCGCACGTCATGTGCACATACAGCTTGAATTGAGATTGACACGTGGAAAACGGAGAAAATATTATTCAAAAAAAAAAAAAAAAGGAACAAATGGCAAGGGAATGCACCACAACCAACGTTCATTTTCCGGATGCCATCCAACCCTCATGATTCGCAGAGGTTGAATGTCATCCGGCCACGCCATCGCTGTCATGTCAACAACATTGAGCCATGGCCAAATCACATACGTCTCGGAAGTGATAACTCTGCGAGACAGTGAACACTAGAGAGAGAGAGAGAGAGAGAGAGAGAGAGAGAGAGAGAGAGAGAGAGAGAGAGAGAGAGAGAGAGAGAGAGAGAGAGAGAACAAGTCTTGAGGCCCATCATTTGTAAAATGCATTCCTTAAAGCGGCAAACCCATCGTTTCGTACAACGCCATCAATGGCCATAACGACGAAGTCATCAACGACACATCCCAACGATCCGACATCGAACACCACAACCAACAGCACCGTGGAATCAAATAAATAATAAATAAATACTGAAATTGGGTTGAGGCTGCAAACAGCCGACCTACGACACGAAATCTGTGCACGATGCAAATGCTTAAGGAATCTCCATGAAACGAACGCCAATAACAATAAACTGCAATGTGCACGACCGGGTGGCATAGCTACCAAAAAAAATAAATAAAAAACTTGAAAACAGCGGATCATGCGAATGATGGGCTGAATGCCCGACATCTCTGCCTACGTTTGCTAAGACAGGCATGTGCGACCTTGGCACAGGCATGCGACAAAACTGCTACATGCCAAAGGCACCTCAGCGGCTATAGTAAGCACTACGACCATCTACTCCTCAGAATCGCTTGAAGACTGTATCATTGAACTACGTTTCCTGTGACGTCGTAAACTCCTGATGGCGTCAGCCAAGACATGGTACCCCTTCTCCATCTTCTTCGCGTACCGCCTCGTTTCCTTCGCACGTGCCTGTATGTCCTCCCGCATTACATCATTCGCCCGATCCATGGCATCACATGTCATCCGCGTACACTCTCTGTCCGACTTCACTTGTGCACTGGTGTGATCTCTCATGGCCCCTGTGACAGCAAGCATGCTCTGTTCCCTTGCAGAACTGTTGGCACGCTTGCGTTTGCCCAACGTTGGCTGGAATGCAGAAGACTGGCCGCCTGCGGACGGCAAACCAGCACCACTCCCACTGCCTTCACACTGTGGACCGTCAACACCACCACTACGTGAACGACCACCTTTAACACCCATCGCAGTCGAGTCCCCCGCAGTGTCTGCAGGTTGATCATCGTCACCAGCTGCATTCTCCACACGTGCTCCAGAATCATGCAAGTGATCTAGATTGATGATCTCCGTATCATCTTCAATAGGATTGATGATGTCGTACCACGCGCGCCGCATAAGGAAGTCCAGTTTGTGGGTCTTTCGCTGTGAGCTGTTCATGTCCCAGTAGCTGGGCCTCCCCGACCACCTCTCATGAGCACGTGAAGACATAGTGGAACTTGTTTTTGCACTGGTCTGCGTCACGATTGAATCCTGCAGCTGCCAGCCTCCTACTCACTTCTGGCCAAAAGTTCTGTTTCATATGAGCCCTTCTCAATGCCTCCGTGTCGGTCCCCATGGAAGTCTTCAACTCGCAGCGGATCTTGCACAGCTCTGTTGTCTCGTCCTCTCCCCAACGGTCTGTGTTTTTCTGTGCAGAAGGAGCCCTGGCGTTGTCCGTCACAGTCGCATGTGAGTCTTCGGCCGCACTTGGAAGGCGTTCAGCTGCCTGTGTCACACTTGGTGCAGGCTGTTCGCGTGGCGGAACAGTGTTTCGTGTGCCAGACGGAGGCGGACCTGCACCTGTAAACATGTCACCTCCAACATTGGTTCCATTCTCGTTGTCCAGGATGCATTGCTCGATGACGGAGAGTCGGCGTGCTTCCTGCACCACAGGAGCGCTGTGGGTCCTGACAGAAGCCGCCCTCCTCTCAATTGACAACACTTCGTCTGGCAAGGTAAAACGTAAGCTAGCAGGCGGTGTAACTTCGCCTTCACGCTGGTTCATTGCCAGCGGCGTGTGCGTTGGAGTGACAGCCGCAGCACCGCCAAGCGTGTCAGCAAATGCTGAGGGGTCCAACGAAGCACGCCGCACAGTGCTTGCAGGACCTTCTTCGCTCCCAGCAACGACAGACGAGACGACACCACCAAACTCCTGTCTGGATTCAGGCAAGTGGCCCCCGGCCACGAGCGACGCGTCGAAGGGGCCCAAACCAGCCATTGCCATGGCACGACAACGAAGTTGCTGTCTCAGAGTTTCCCCGTCCCCAGCCACCTGTGCGGTCCAGGCATTTCCCACTCCCAGTGGCTGGAAAACGTTGTCTTGGGACCCGAAGAGGGACCTCGAAGGAGCAAGCCGTGTCCCACTGCTACCCGCGGCAGGTAACTGCTGGCCAAGCACATCACCCGCTCCCGCCTGATCACCAATGCCTTCGTGTGTTCGAGAGTCTTGTGTGCACCCCCAGTCCTGTATGCAAGACAAGCCAACCTGCTGGCTGTCCTCGGCCATCTCGTGCACCGGATCCGATTCGCTGAACCTACGACAGCCTGTGTGCACAATTGTACTCGGATGCACCGACCGTAGAATGCAGCCTGATTCCGTTGTTTTCCAAACCGGACGATACTTGACGTGGACAAGCCCCAATGACAAAGAAAGCGCCCTTCGCACAAGTACTTGGTCGCCTTTCGCAACAACGGGCATACGGCGAGCACACAGCCCAACTGGCTGTTCACGTCCGTCAACGTGGGAGATAAAGAAACCATAGCCCGAAAAGGAAAGATGGTTTCACGCTCTCATGTGTGGGCCGCGACAGTTGGCGTCCACGCAATGGACTTTCCATATATGATAGCGCCCTCCTCACACGACACACCGAACCGAAGTGCTCAAGCAACCGGCACAGAAGGGGATAATAGGTAGAAAGAGCCCACGCCAAAACCTTTCCGGTTTTGGGAGCCCGAAACTCAGCCGTTTGGTACTACCGGCTCAAACCGTCTTCAGCCTGGGTGAAAAGAGCCTTCGCGCCGTGGCCACATCTCCCTGGACCTGTTTTTACCGGTTCAAGAATGTGGCCCTGTTTTTCTGCCAGATTCATGAACCCGTAGGGCCCTTCTTTTTCAAAATCCCCTTTTTTTCTCTTTTTTTTTTTAATTAAAATAAGCTCCATCTATTGGTGGGGAGCATCACCTGCTGGAAACCGGGTGCAGCGTCCCTTGATTGTACAACTTGAATACATTATGAGAATAAGAATAAATAAGAAAAAGGTCTCTTGAATTGAAGAAGAGTGTCACTCACTACCTGCCAACAGAAATTGAAACAACAACACTACCTCTTCATCCATTCCAGGACGCCAGATATACCTGTTGAAACTAGTAGTAATAATTCTATAATCCATACCATGAGTTGGGAACAAGGGTTGTTGCTGGGGGAGGAAAAGGATCCGGGAAATCTGATAACGGACGCATGGGAATTGACGCGTCTATTGTAGTCCAGTCATCGAAAATCAATTTGTAGTCTCTTTTTATTCCAGTATCATCCTCATTCYCAGSCCCATTCCAAACGACACAACCAATTCTCTCACCCTGGTTTCCGCCCAGCCAAYTACGACTGAATTTACRAAAATGACTTYGAATTTCTGTTTTRTCTGAGAGGAATTGAACTCTTTCCTTTGTTCGATCCCATTTGCTTAATATATCTGTTTGAATTTGTTGTTTAATATTGTCTGTAAATGCAGGTCCATCTAGTCTGGCCCCTTCCCATTCATACGTGCATCTCTTCATCCATATAGCCCACAACACCGCTCTTCTCCCCATGCTAAATAGATTTTCCATAAATTCCCCATCATTTTCCACTAATTCTGGGTCCAGGCTCCAGGTCTCAATAAGAATAGCTTTCCATTTCCATGGCCAAGGAACCTGTGGGACTAAACTTGACCAGATTCGATCTCACCACCTCCAAAGCCATACTGAGCCCGGGCATTGTATAAAGATATGCTCTATAGTTTCAGGATAAGTTCGACTTGGGAAAGCCGATTTGCATAACTTACACCATCTTTCTGCTAGTCCTTTTTGTTCCATCGATGATCTGTCAATCAGCCAGTCATTGACTGGTAGACACCTATGTTCAATTTGCCATTGGAGTGAAGCAATTTTGGCTGGTTTCTCCTTGACTATTTTAAACCACCTGACAGACCTCAATTCTTCTTGACTAACATTAAGATGTTCTCTCCATCTGATGGAAACCTTGTCTTTTAAGTTGATTCTAAGGCGAAGCATTCGGTAGGCTGATTTGACTTTGAGTGAGTGAATAGTCCTTTTGAACGATCTATTATGCCTTCCTATTCTTGTGACCAAGCTTCAAACCCAATTAATCGGGTCGAGAGGGAGTTCTGATATAGGACAGTCTGGTTTAAAGGCCACCTAATAGTCTTTAATTCTTATTACCCTTATTTTGAAGATCTGTTGTGTCTGAACCCAACCGGTTTCCCCTTGCCCCTTAGGAACGACTATATTAGTGGATGACAAGGAAAAATTATGTAACAGAAATCCCCCATTATGGTCTTGGTCCAGAATTAAACCAATTGACTCAGACTGATCCTTGAAAGCAACCCAATCATTTATCATTAATTTGGAGGCCTTCCTAAGAATACGAAACCATTCAAGAGGGATGAGTTCGATTATCCTTTCGAGTGCTTCCTTTGAATGATGACAATATCTTAGCCTTGCCTTCAGTTTAGTTGGGTCGATCCATTCATTGGTATCAATATCCCATATATCTTTTATCCTCATAATCCCATTACTAATCCACTTATTCCAAGGAGAATGCATACAATGAAGAACAAATCCTTGGGAATCACGAATCCACCTATTATCAAAAATAGGTTGTTGACACACTTCCTCCCATCTTTCTGGCGATAGTTTGTCCGTGAGGGGAAATTGTCTCCAAGTTTTCAACATAGACACCCAAAAAGGATCATTTTTCAAATCAAGTCTGACTGCTTGTCTACTTGAGGTCACAGGTGTCGTAATTGGTTTAGAGATTCCCTCAGGAATAGTCCAAGAACGATTTTCTAACCATGTCAAGGGGTCAATTCCTTCAGGTGTTGGTGGAGCAAGTCTCCTAATTTGCTCCAAGGCTAATGGTGTCCATGGAGTCTGGGGGATGAATACTAATCTTTGAAGCCATTGAATTGAAAGAGCTTTGACTTGGGTCAAAGGATCTAGAATCCCCAGCCCTCCCCCAACTTTTGGTTGGATAATGGATTGCCATGCTACTCTGTTGATGACATTGCTATGTTCATGATTTCCCCTCCATAGAAAAACAGTTAGTTATCGTCGTAGAGATTTAAAAGAGTGTTTATCCAAAGACTAAATTCCTGATTTGTACCATATAGATGTTAGGATTTCATTGTTCATTACCATCGATCGTCCAAAAATGGATGTATGCTTATTTTTCCACATTTCCATTTTAGCCTGAGCAGGTTCGGAGATCCATTCATTATGGTTTCTTAGCTTTCCTTTAGCAGAAAAAGAAATCCCTAATAATCTAATAGGGGTATCCAGGGGTAACCACTTTACTCTTGGCAATTCATAAGGTCTCCCTCCTTGATGATGGATCCACCAAACAGTTGTTTTGCTACCCCAATTGACTTTCATATCTGAGAGACGATAAAAAATTTTCATCAAAGTTTGAATTTCTGCCATATTTTCATCAGTAGCATCAACCATAAGTGATAGGTCATAAGCAAAAAGAGAGCAGATTGGAATTGCCTCCTTCGGTATGCTGGTAACCTGTATTCGTCTAATATCTTTATGATGCCTCAAATTTGCCCCCAGTGCCTCCATAATAATGATAAAAAGACAAGGGGTCAAAGGATCCCCCTGTCTTACTGATCTTTCTAGTGGGATGGGGGGGGTAACATTATTATTGACCATAACCTTTGTTGTTGCATTTTGATGCAAGATTCTCACCCACCTTCTAAAGCTATGGCCAAAGTTCATCTTTTCCAACCATTTATCTAAAAAGAACCAATCGACATGATCATATGTTTTTTCAAAATCTATGAAAATAAAAGTTGCATTGTGTTTGGATTGACGAGATATTTTCAGAAGTTCATTTACTAAAAGAATACTATCTTGAATGTTCCTTCCTGTTATGAAACCTGTTTGGGATGGGTGAATGATTTCCGGAATTATTGTAGCCATACGGTCTGCTAGTGCTTTCGCTATGAATTTATATACCACGGTAAGAACGGTTATTGGACGATAATTTCTTATATTTGCCTTATCCCCGTTCTTATACAGAAGGGTAAATACTCCTTGTCCTACAAATTCCCCCATTTCACCCGATTCCCATACTGCCTTATAGTATTCCATTAGATCCTCCGACATAAAATCCCATGTTGACTCCCAAAATTCCTTTGAAAATCCATCAATACCTGGGGATTTATCTTCTTCCATTAATAAGAGAGTCTTCCAAACTTCTTCTTTTGCTAGAGGTTTATCCATCAGATCCTTTTGTTTCTCTGATAAAGATTTATTTAATGGCCTAAGAAATTCCTCTATTTCTATGATACGCTGGTCCCTAGGAATGTGACCATTTTGTGAGGTGAAAATAGTTAAAAAAAAATCCCTGGCTATTTTCGAACATGCCGCTGTCGAAGTGACCAGGTTCTTATTGGAATCTACTGGGTCCTCGAAAGCTTCAATGATCGTTTTTCCTGTTCTGGCCCTAGCCATGACAAAAAAACGTGCATCCATTGAACCTTCCATATTCTAAATATTGAGCTTACCCTTGATTCTTAATCCTTGCCATCGATGTTCCATCAGGGTTAACAGTTGAGCCTCTAGATCTTAGAGTTCCTTAGATATTTTATCTAGGACTGCTTGGTCTACAACCCTTTTCTCTTTATTTTGTAATTCCAAGATTCTAGTCTGTAAGTCAATTTCTTTCGCATGTTTTTGTTTTGCTATTAATTTAGAATATTCATTGCATTTTCAGCCTAAGAAAGCCAGACCGTTGTTGAACCATTTGATGTCATCATTAAGACTAACCCTCTGGTCCCTCCAAAATCCCCAGACATCCTTTAGATAGTTGATGAAGCATTCCATCTTGAGATGTGAGGTATTTAGATGATAAAAACATTTTTCTTTATCCGTTTTTTTTCTAAAGGATAAGATTGCCACACACATGGCATGATCCAGACCCGGAAAATTACTTTTTGGAAAACTTTCTGCCACTTGGATAACACTTTGCAACTCCTCGGCTA